GCCGTGTGCGCTGCTGTTTGTCCGGGGCCGGCGGCCCCCGCCATAGGTATTGATGCAGATGGGCTTGTCTCGGGGGCAGACGAAGGGGAACTCGGCACACTCATCTGTGTCTGCAAGCAAAGAGGCCGTGGTGTGAGATGGCTGGGCTGGGAGATTCAGGATCCCAGTCACAGGCCCTCCAGCTCCCCATGCACATGCTGCGCTGGGGCCTCAGGTGACCCCCCTGAGGTAGCCACGCACAAGCCATGCCACATGAAGCAGCCACAGCTACCCTGCCACATCCCTGCTGCCTCTGCATGGACTGTGGCTCGAGCACAATGCCTGCCCCATGCGACCCATGCCTCCTGTCTTTGGCACAGTGCTCTCCCTGCTCTCTGTGACACCACAGCCCTGCTTCTAGAGCAGTGCTGCTGTCCCTGTGCCTAAGCCACGTTCTGGGCAGGAAGCCATACCCTGCACTGAGCCATGCATGCCCAGCCACCTCCCCACACAGGGCCATGCTGCAGCATCCCGGGTGTGGGCACACCTGCATCCCCACCAGCCACTCACCTACGCAACGTCCGTTCTCGTGCTGGGAGAATCCCTGCCCGCACTGCATTTGGGGATAAGCGGAGACCATGGGGATGGGGAGATGTCAGCCCTGGGCAGCCACTGAGCCAGCAGAGCTCAGCCTCTTGTTCCCATCCCAAAAGCTCCCCAACCCAGCACCCCACACACACCCTCACCTCCAGTGGGGCAGGCATGAGTGGCTCCTCCACATCCAGAGGGTAGGGCACCTCCAGGACAGAGTTGGTCTCACTGCTGGCCACAGCTCGTACCACAACACGGCCGTCTGGCCAGGTCACCTCCAGGCTGCTGGCTTCATCATGCCCTGCAGGTGGGCAGCTCATCAGAGAGGGGGTCTCCAGGGCGGACAGGGGCTGAAAGGAGGCCAGGGGAGTGGTAGGAATGGAGGGGCAAAGCCTCCCCTTACTCCCCAATCCGGGACCCAGGTGCTCCTGCCAACAGTCCATGTACAGGGATGTAGCCCAAGAGGTGCACTTAGGGACTATGGGCTGCCCTGCCCATGGGCAGGGACACCTCTGCAGGCTTGGCTGGCCGTGCCGCGGTGGCTGCGCTGCCGGTCCTGCCGAGCCAGGGGAGGGTTAATGAGCAGGGAAACCCCTGGTGCCTGAGCAAAGCAGCAGGCAGGCAGTGTGGAAGGTGGCAGCTGCCCCTTGCAACAAAGTTGCAGTGGTTGAGCACCCTGCCCACAGTCTTCCCTGGAGCCTACTGTGCCCAGGGCATGGATGACAGCTGTGCTGCAGGGCACCGGGGCAACGGAGGTGACCCCAGCCCAGGGGGATGTTGGAGAGAGCTGGGAGTGGAGGCAGCCCCTTGCCCCCCCGGCTCACCCAGTCCAAAGTGCGCCACAGGCTCCATCTCGCAGAGATACCCTGATCCGCCGTCGATGATGCGCAGGTGAGCCCCGCTGCGCTGTGTGAACAGCACCACCTTGGCCCCCCGCGCAAAGGCCCCGAAGCGGGTGCGGGGAATGACGCGTAGCCAGTTGTTGCCGGTGCCCTGCAAGTGAGGAGGGAGACTCAGCAGGGAGAGGCGGAAGGGACAGGGACAACGCAGGAGCAGATACTTGACTCACCTGGGTGCCCTTGAAGATGGAGATTGGCTGTGCCATGGACTCGCCATGGGACAGGATCAGGTCCAGCATCCCATCACCATCAAAATCTGTCACTGCACCCCCTGCAAGGACAGGATCAGGTCATGCTTGTGACTCGGCCCCACATCTCCCAGCACTACACCTTGCTGCCAGTGTGGGCTCCCACAGCCGGCAGCAGCACTCCTGACAATGCAGGAGCAGCAGTGAAGATGGGTGTTGAGGACCTTGTATGCGGGGCACCCTGCAGTCAAGTGGGTCAGCTTCCTAGGCATTTGAGGGGACAGGGGCAGGCAGTGCCTGGGAAGCTGTGGGACACAGGAGGCTACCTAGCCCCCTCCCAGACACAGAAATTGGCTTTCAACATTGGGCACCCAGGAAGGAACCTTCAGAGAAAAGTTCTGGGGAAGAATTGGAGATAGCATCATTAGCTGGGTATTGGTGGAGGGAGAAATCATGGAGCTGCTCCTGAGTTATGGGGGCTCCATGATGCTGGCAGGGAACAAGCAGGTGACTCAGCCAGGCATGTGGCAGGCCCAGACATATGGTGTGCCAGGCAGTGCATGGGCACTGGGACCCAGCATGGGTTCCCACTGCCAGGGCTGAGGGACTCACCTGTGCCCCGTCCCTCTGGCTCCAGCGCATCTCCCGGATTCAGCTCTTCCACGATGGGGTCCGAGTGCTCCCTGCGGATGAGCCTGTAGAGCACATATAGGACATTAATGCCAGACCTTATGGCCCAGAGCAGCTACCTGGACAGTACCTGTCTCCTCTCGTGGTAGAGAGCTGACAGCCCCAGTGGCTATGCCGGATGGATGGGGGACAGGGGCTGGGCCCCGCCCGGTAGGATGGATGGGGGACAGGGACTGCCCCCTGCCTGTTAGGACCTCATGTTCCTACTCCATGCAGGGGTGACAGTGACATCATGAGAGCCTGGCTCTTGTGGGTCTGAACTGTTGGGCAGCAGCGCCTTATCAAACACTGCTGCATCCCTCTGGGACCAGAGACAATGCCAATGCCCTCCACCCACCCATGAGTGCTGCCACTGGATGGATGACCAACTCCCACCATCTCACACGCATCGAGCGAGGTGGTGTCACACAGCAGTAATGAGGAGTTGACCCCCACAATTAACAGGAGTCACAAACAAGCTTCCATGTGGCTGCTAATCAATGGTGCTGGGGACCCTGGGGGCTGCTGCAGGCACGATCACAGCAGCCGGTAATGACGCTGAGAAGGGCTCAGTCACGGCACCTTTTATTAGGTGAGCCCAAGCAGTGGTGCTGCTGGAGAGGAGCCCCAGGAGCCTGGCTGTGCTGTGAGGGCTGCTTGGCTCCCTTGGTACCTGCTGGGCTCCTACCGAAAGAGGCGGTTGGCGGAGGAGCCGCGGTAGGCGATGTTGTTGAAGAAAACCTCCAGCTCCTGGTCATTGTCAAAGTCAGCTGCGATGACAGTACGGACAGGGGACGGCATAGAGAACTTGGGAGTGGCGATGTCCTGTGCGAGTGACAGGCACAGGGTGAAAACAGGTACAGGGAACAGGACACTGCCTCCCCCTTAAGTGCCTCAGGTCCCATCCCTGCCGGGAACTGGAGCTCAAAGCCAAATGTGGGTGATGCCAGGCCCTTTGGTGAAGGGGGCTCAGCAGCAAAGCTGGCAGTGGGGTGGGTCCCAGTCACAGCCCTCACCCGGAATCGGATGCGCCCAGGGCCCCTGCTCTGCAGGTAGAGGCGGTGTGGCCCATTCCAGTTGCCGTAGACTATGTCCACCCGACCATCACGGTTGAAGTCAGCCAGTGCCACGCCACGTCCATGCTGGTAGGGGTCATCCAGCCCTGGGGAGCCGCAAGGGGATGGGGGAAGACAGGACCCCCTCCCTGCCTCCATCTCTCCAGGATATGCCCTATGTTCCCCAGATAGATTCTCCCCGTGCAGGGCTGCATCCCTGCCCTGAAGGATGCCCCAGTGTACTTCAGCCACCCCCAGTGGTCAGCAGGGCTCTGGGTCCCCAGGGCTGTCCCTCCACCCTACCTGGACAGACAGAGCCAGCCCTGCCCTGGGGTGTCCAATGCCTGGGTGCTCCACCCTACTCACCCACAGCAGCTGCCATGTCCCGGTATGTCCCATCCCCCCAGTTGTGGAAGAGGAAATTGGGGCTGTTCTCGTTACCGCAGAATATGTCAGAGGCACTGTCGCTCAGGATGGGGCCCACGGCCACTCCACGGCCCCCTGGGGACAGCACCCTGGGGGTGAGTGGACAGCCAGTGCTTTTCTCCAGAGTGGTTCATGCTCCCCCACACCCTCTTGGTGCTGCCTGGGACCTCCAGCATCCCCTTCTCACCCACCTCCCACCTTTAATCCCTCTCATCAGGAACTAATTGGGCCTGGCAGCCGCTGGTGTCACTCCCAACCCTAATCACTGTCATCACCATGGTGACAACGCTCCTAATTAGTGACAATTTACTGCTGAGAAGACGGGGCACAGCAGTGGTCCCTGTGGTGGTGGGGCAGCGTGGAGTGCAGGCTGGCATGCTCCCTGCATCCCGCCTGCATGCCCACGTCCCTGTTCCACCCTGCCAGCCCTGTGAATGCAGCAGGGTCCAGAGGGACCAGCCTGGCTGTGGGGCAGGGTGATAGTGGGCATGGGGGTCCCGAGTGAGCACCCCGTGGCCTTGATCCCTTCCACGGGCAGTGGCGCTGCCACTAGATGGGGCAGTCAGGCAGCCTAAAGCATGCCACAGGTCCCTGCCTGCACCAGGCCCAGCCCTGACTGCAGTGGGGCCCCACACCCACTGTGCCCAGCAGCACCCCATCCCCTCGGTAGGGCCACAGCAGCCAGTACCTGTGTACTTGCTGACGCCGGCCTGGGCAGCCACATCCACCAACACCACGATGCCACGGGCAGGGTCGCTGGCAGTTCCCTCTCGATCAGGGGTGGGGGTCCCACATTGCCGCTGGCGTAGTTGGCGATGTAGATGGAGTACCTGCCAGAGCCCTGCGGCCGGCAGCACCTCCTCAGCACCCACGCAAAACCCACTCCACGGGGACTATGGGATCCCTGCTGTGGGGCTGAATGCTCTCATGGCTCCATGGGACCATGCACTGCTATCACATGCTGAGTAAGAGCTCTGCAAAGCCCATGGTGAAAAGCACCCCAGGAGTGGGGATGTGCCTCATATCCTCCAGGACCTCTGTGGTCCCCGTGCTCATAGTGCTGAGCCAGTGTGCCGGTTCCCCCCCGCTATCCCACCAGCCCCCCTTGTCCCATGCAGCAGCTGGACCCTGATTTAGTGATAATCATTTGGAAACAAACTGCTGGGGGAGGAGGAAGAAGAAAGAGCAGGTGACAGGAACATAAATCACCTCGACAGGCACGTTTATCAGCTGGCATTAACCGTGTGGACAGGCACCCACATGGGGAGGCTGCCAGCCCTGACAGCCACAGGCTGCTGGTGCACCCTTCAGCTCCAGTGTGAGGTGGGATGGGGCTGGTGCCCAGGTGAGGGCAGAGGTCTCCTGGGACCCCAAAGGGGAGGGCTGGAAGGCCACAGAGAGTCAGAAGGGAGTGGAGATGCCCCCTGCTTGCCATGTCCTGCCTGCTCACCGTCCGGTCCACGCAGGCGACAGAGCGCCCGGCAAAGCGGCTGGCCACGTCCCGGTTCACCTCATCACTCAGGAGGTCCTCCCAGCGCCCGTTGCGGAGCTTGAAGAGCTTGTCTGTGTAGGTGGCCATGCCTGAGGGGGGGCACGGGTCAAGGGGCTGCAGCATCCTGCCTCCTCCCAAGGAGGGTGCCCTGTGGCAAGGGAAGGGGCATCCCAAACCCCTGCTCTGTCTCCTGCAGCCCCGCTGGGCCAGGCTGCTGCGGCAAGAGCCTCCATGACCCTTAAGAGCCGCCAGGAGACATGCAGAAGAATCAACTCATTAAGGTAAAATGTGTCCCAATGGGGCACAGCCCTGTAGATCATCCCTGGGAAGGTAAAAAATCGATTCAGTGCCAGGCACAGGCAGCGAGCCGCGCTCCCCATGACAGCATCGATGGCAGAGCCTGATTTAGGGACAGGTGTCGTGGCAGCCACCGCCAGCCTGGGTAATTAGGAGTGTCAGGAAGACAGATCTGCTGCCTGGAGGTCAGGGCTGTTGGGACAGGGACACAGGGACAGGGCAGAGCTAAGCTGGAGGAGCTCCAGGGATGCCGAGTGCCAGGCTGGGGGATGTGGGTCTCCTCCCTATGACAGGCATCTCAGGAGCTGGGACAGCACCAGCAGTGGAGGATCAGACCTGGCTTGGTCCAGCAGGCACAGCAGAGCCATGGCACGGAAGGGCATGGCTGCTGCAGGGCACAGCTGGGTTTTGCCGCACAGTGTTCCTGTGTTGGGGCAGCCTCAGGGGTGTCAGGGAAGCTGCTGTCCTGCTTGGGGTGCTGCAGGGAGGGCAGTGGGCAGCTGGAAGTGCTAACTCAGCAGCTGGCTGGGCTCAGCGTCCCACCCGCGCTGCCATCAATCAATGGAGCCACTCAACTGAGAAATTAACTCCAGCCCGCGCACATCCCTCAAGTGCCGAAGGTCACCGGCAGCCATGACGGGAGCTACCCCCGCATCCAGGGCTCAGGGCATGGCTGCTGGCAGGGCTCACCAGAGAAGGCGTTGTTGGTGTTGAGGAAGTAGATCTCCTCGCGACCATCCCCGTCGATGTCACAGGCTGTCACGCCGATGGCATTGCCCTGCCGGTCCCGCAGCGCATAGTACGGGGAGCTCCGCTCATCCTCTGCCACATTCACCAGTCGCCCCCACGCCTTGTCGTACTTGAGCACCAGGTTGGGGCCATTGTACCTGTGGGTGTGAGCAGGGGTGATGGCTCCCCAAGGCTTGGGGACAGGATCAAAGCTCCCGTCCCATCCCTGGAGGGACACTGGGTGTGACACCAGGTTTTCCCCATGATGGGCACAGCAGAGACCTGTGTGGTTCATGGAGGCCAGGGACCCCAGGGTGCCTGCAGCAGCCAAACATGGGGCTGGCTCCTGGCTGCCACTGGAGAGGGCTGAACCTGGACCTATTCCAGCCCATGCTGGGCATCCCGTATCTACCTGGCCTGGGTACTTGAGGGCAATGCCCGGGATTGCAGCTGGGTAGAGGCAGCCAGTGGGGCAGGATGGGGTGCAGGTCCCTGTTTGCAGCCCTTTCCCAGGGCAGGGAAATAGGCACACAAGGCAAATCCTCCCAGACTCCCTGCCTGTGCACCAGTAAACAAGTTATACAACGGGCACTGCGGCCGCTTACAAAACCATGGCTGGCTGCTTGGCTCGGCCCAGCTGGGAGTGGTGTCTTGGGCCACTCTGGGGGTCCCTGGTGCTGCCTGTGGTTTGCTCCCCCAGGGTGATGCTCAGAGCAGTGGCAGGGCCAGACTCTGCATGCCACCATGATGCTCTGGCTCCCACAGCCCTACCCAGATGGGGTCTATGGGGGTGAGAGGTCTCCTCCAGGTGAGCACACTTGTGTGTGCCAGCCTGCCTTGGGGGTGAGCATGGCGGTGCGTGCAGACATGCTGTACCAGCAGCTCACGGCCATGCCAGCACAGGCAGAGACTGTGCTGTGGTTCCCTCTGTCCACAGCTGGGGCTCTGTGTCCAGCCCTGCTTGGGCGCAGGCAGTGCACGACTCCCTGGCTCCTGCCAGCTCTTCCAAGCCATCACTCCAATAAAAGGCTATAAAAAAAACCTCCAGCCAATTAACTGAATCTCCAGAGAGCGCTGAGTCCTGTCAGCAGAGCTGAGCCAGCTTGGGGACATGCTAGCTCTGCACTGCGGGGTGGACCCCAGCTGCCAGGCAGCTACCACTGCCCCATGGAGGGGAAACCTAGCCCTCCTAGGTTTCCCTAGGGGACAGGATGAGGCCACCCACATGGCCCTGCACAGGTGCCCAGCTGGCATCAATACCCTGTGTGGGTGCACACACATGCGCATGCATGGGGGCATGCAGACCCCCACCCCATCACCCTTGCGTGCAACCCCCCCAGCCAGCCACATGCCCTCAGAGGAGTGAGGAGCTCCTGGGCCTGTAGGGCCACAAGCTCCAACTGTCACTGAGGCAGTGGGTGCACTACTCACCCTGCCACCACAATCTCAAAGTCACCATTGGCATCCAGGTCGGTGATGGCCACACCATAGTTGAGTTGCGTTGGGTTGTTGTCGTAGTCAGGTGGAAGGAAGCGGTGGGTGACAGCTGTGAACATGGGCTCACTGCGCTGGGAGCCCTCGCTGAGCCAGGCCAGGGACAGCAGGCACAGTGCCAGCATCCTAGGCACCTGGGAGAGACCTGCAGCCCATCAGCTCCAGGAGGAGACCCTGCTCCACAGTGCCTGAGCATCTCCATCGCCTTCTCTTTCCACTCCTTGTTACCCATCCCAGCCTGTGCCACCCCACCAGCCCTGAGACCCCCTGGGCACTGCCACAGCTCTGGCATCCCCATGCGTGAACCTTCCCAGGTGCAGCTCACCCTCAGTGCTTCCTTAGGACAGGATGGTACCCCAGTAAGCTGAGGCTGAGGAGGAGCAGGGCTGTGGAAGTCCATCCTGTGGGAGGGACCCAGGAGGATTGCAGGGTGCTGAGAAAGCTGGCCTCAGTCCCAGTTCATCCTGCCCTAAGGGGCAGCTGGCACTCAAGCTCCTGGCAAATCACAATGCCAATCGCTGCTCCCTTGGCAGGGCCAAAGGAAGCAGACAGTCATCAGGCTGGAGAGCTCATCCCCTGTCCAGCTGATCCTCTGGAGCTGGGGAAGGCCATAGGGAGAACATGGGGATACTCTGCCAGGTGACTTGTGTGCACCTCAGTTTCCCCACCCTGCTGACAGTGTTTCTCCCAGGGGCTCTGCAGGGTGAGCTCCTCCCAGGCCAGCCAGAGAAGGTGTCTGCACAGGGATGTGGTCACAAGAAGGAGATAATGGGAAGAATGGAAGACTGGGAGGAGAGGCTCAATTAACCTGGACTGCGGAGGACGGTGTCTGCCAGCACTGCTGGCAAGGCTGCAGAGATTTTGGAGCTGGGTCTGTCCTGGCTGTAGTACGGGTAATGAACAAGGTGGCACTCAGGATAGCTGCCCCTTGCTCCAGGCCAGGCAGGCCCCTCTAGAGGGAAAAAGCCCAGCAGTGAGCTGCGTGTCCGCAGGCCATAGGCATGAACCCACACACCAGTGCTCCAGCTTGGAGCAAAAGCAGCCTGTTGTCTCTCAGACTGGAGGGATAGCACAGCCATATGGAACAATGTCCCAACCTTGGCAGCTGGGTGCCCCCAGGCAGGAGCTTCCCAGGGAGCCAGGAACAGCCTGACCACTGGCAGAGGGATAGGGGTGAGTGGCCACCCCATCCCTGTGCCATGGACCCTGCCAGTGAGCAAGGGAGGCTGTGGGAGCTACGTGGTGCCACACATGCCCAGCTTGGAGAGGTGAAGGTGCTCAATGGCTGTGGTACTAGCAGCCCCACCGCACTACGAGAGCGCACTGCTGCTGCCTTCTCTGGGGATTGGAATGGTCCCAGCAGTCTTTGTGGGACCAGGATCCCCCTTGCCACAGACAAATAGCTTTTCTTCCCCCGTGGCTGGGCAGGAAGGGGCTGTCCTCCAGCTGCAGAGGACACCTTGAGCCCCACTGCTCAGCATGCTCAGAGACTGTATCCCACTGCACAGGCCTTGCTTCTCTTCTCTCTCCAGTCTCAGCAGCAAGGGGGTGAGTATGGGTGTGTGGGCATGGGGTTTCATTGGGTTGCACAGGGATGGGACAGTCCCTTGATGTCACTCCATAGTGCTGGGCAGTGAGGGAGGGGGAGCCTTTGCCACAGCCCCACGCTGGGCTTACCAAAATAAGCGTAGATGAGAGGCACCCACATGTGGGTGGACATACTGGTGCAGGGCTGCCTGCCAATGCAAAGCAGTGCCCTCCATGCCCAGTCACAGCAGGTGATGGGTGGCTGTCCCCTGGCCAATGGCAAGGCTCCTCCTGCTCTGCCCTCACTCAAACTCCCACTCTGCACAGCTTGGCCCATTCCCCAGATGCCCCTCCCCTGCATCCAGCTACAGCCAAAATCCCTCCAGGCTGGATGGAGCCTTTCCAGGAGGAAACAATGTTCCTGATTGGAGACAAAAGGCTTTTCCCACCAGATCCGGTGCCTGGTGCCATGGAGAAGGCATGCACGACCCAGAGCCAGGCCATTTTGGGAAAGGGGAGAGAAGGAGGCTCAGGCTCTGAGTGGTGGGCAGGAAAGGCCTCATGGTTCCCAGTGTGCTGATAGCACCAAGGCCCTGCCATCAAGCTCCACCTGAGATTTGAGGCTATGGGGTCCTGGTTATATGCAGGGCAGAACTCAGCCTGTCTTGTCCCAGTGGAGCTATGTCCTGGCTTGTGTTGTGGCACCTGATGGCAAGGTCATTCCAGGAGCTGTTGTCACCCCAGTGTGCTTAGCATCGCTAAGCCCGGTGACACAAAGCCAAGGTGTCAGGCAGGGGTAGAGGCAGCAGGAGGATGGGAGAAAAGCAGGGGGTGCCATGGGCACCCATGCAGGGTGCAGCCAGGCCGTGCAAGGACAGGGTGCTGGCCCCATGGCAGGGATGCAGTACATAGGGCTCATCTGTCCCCACACATGGCTGCAGCTGGCAATGCCCTGCAAGGAGGGTGAGATAGGAGCTATGGGACAGGCAAGGCATTGTGTCTCAGATCCCTCACTGCAGGTGGGGAGATGCTGTCTCCAAGTCTCTTCATGTACCCTCATGTACACCCTCAACCCACATCACGGAGAGAGTGAGAGTTGGCTCTCAGTGCAGAGACCACATACCGCATGCCACTGTGACATTGCTGCCCACCGCACCACGCACCCCAGTGATGTCATGCTCCACCACTGCAGCAACATCCCATCCCAGGCCACAGCCATCTCCAGCACCACTACAACATTGTGCAGCAGGGGCCTCATCACACCCCAAAGGCACCCCACAGCAGTGACAACATGGTGACACGACAGCAGCCCACAGCATCATGCTGCATGTGCCCCAGTACCATCATATCCCTGTTCCTGTCATTCCCAGGCTGCCATATCTGTATCCTTCAGGTCAGAGGACAGGCAGGAGATGTCCCACAGACCTATCAGCCCCTCTCCCACAGCAGCTGTGCTGCCCAAGGATGCTAGTAGTGCCCCCTCCATGGCACCCCAGCCCCAAGCAGCTGAGCCCCTGCAGTGTCTCTGCTCTGGTCAAAGCCCATGACCCCCAGCTCTGCTGCCCCGGGCTCAGTGCTGCTCTCTCCCACATCCCTCTCACAGACCCTGGCCTGCACATGCATCCCATCACAGGTGCTTCCAATGGGCACAAAGCCCCCAGCCACTGGCTATCCCGTCCCTCTCCCCTCCCACACAGGGCTCCTCAGCACTGGACCTGGCATGCTGGGGCTCAGCCAGCAGCAGCTAATGCAGTGTGGAGATGAGCTGTCACCTTAGCCTCCGAGCTCAGCCCAAAGGGACACCAGGTCCTTGGTGGACACAGCTACAGCCACCTGCTCTCAGGCCCACCAGCAGCCCCTTCCCACGCAGGCAGACACACAGAGGGACCCCTCTATCTGCAGCTCCCAGCCCCTCCACGGGTTGAGCCACGACCAAGCACGAATGTCCCTAAAAATAGGAGCTACTCGTTCTCTACCTCTGTCCCTTGCTTCTTGCCACCCTGCCACCTCTCCCTTAGTCCCAGCCCACATCCCCAAGCACCACTTCATCCTCCTGAGCCAACTTGCTCTCAGCCCAGCATTCTTCATCCCCCTTCCTCCTGCCGTGCCACCCTGCATCCCCTCCGCCCTGCGGGGGCAGGCTGCGCGCCCGGCCCTGCTCTT